AACAAATAAGAAACAAAAAAGTTAACATTTATCTAAGCGGAAACATATCAATAATCATTAAAAGGCTTATTATAAGCTCACGACACTGAAGTTTTAGATTGTATGATCTGTAGTAACAAACATCCTATAAGAATATATAGGGTCCAGTCAATTAGAATAAATGGGAATTAAATATTTCTGTAAATGACACTAACGGTCAGACTTGAATTTTCTTACTTACAATGCTACGGAATAACTTATTATCAAGATAAATACATATTATAAGACACAATTTTAATTTAGCTTTATGAAATAAAAAGTCATATTTCTATCTGACTGCTCAGTTCTATTCTACTGCAATCTTAGATATGATTTTTTTTCTTTTCCTTAACAAGCAGATGCGTGACCTGAAATTACGTATGCTAATCAGAAGTAGAATATAATAAATATAACAACCATTCAAATAATTTATACTCTTATTGCGTTTAGATTTCTTTAGAATGAAACTTTTGGAGGTAACGAACAATATTCAAGATCTCAACAAATGATTCCCTTGCTTTACATTTGAATGACATTCTTACAATAAATTTTTTTGTTTAATGCGTAATCAAATCCTTTATTTATAGCAATATCGCCTCTCTTTTTGTACTCTGTCTTCATTTGATAAACAAAATAATCAGATTTCCAAACTGCATTATAAACAATTGCCTTACTATTTAAATAAAGCACGCCAAAATTTGACAGAATGTCAGCCTTAAGAGTCCACAATTTTTTGTCGTCGCGTAGCCATCAATATGGGCTCTCCTTTTCAAAAAAAAAAAAAAAACATGGAGATATGGAGATACTGTTCGTTATCTCCATATGTTTCTTTTATTCAGGAAAAGCGCCAAATATTAGATATGAGATTATATACACGAATTTTAAAGTCAAAATAAACCTTATTTCATCTTGGGAAAAATGTACACGTTGTCCTCCCATTCCCTAAAAATAATTTCAATGTTACTTTGGTTCTCTTTTACCCTCGGTTGTGCCATTTCCTCTACCCATAGTTTGCAATGTAGAGGAAGTAGAGTTTGTCTTGTCAGTGATAATTCTCAATTTCTGTCTTATATCTCCCGTGGCAAACTTGGCAAGGATTTGTTTTCTCTTTGTTAGCGACTTTTTATCTATAAACATGTCAACAATATCAAACAATATATTGTGTTCAAATTAATCAACATATAAAACAAAATAGACTTAACAATATAGGTGATTCCTTAATAATATGCATTATTTGTTTCATAATACTATTTCTTTACTGTCTTGTTCAGCATCACTTGTGATTTTATTGAATGGCAGATTATGATCTGTTAGCTAAAACATCACTTAGCAAGTTGCTAAGAAGAACTTAATCATCTTACGTAGCTAAGAATATGCTTAATGGATTCAGTATATCCGTAAAAAAATTTCATGCCTTCGAATCCAGGTTTTTTTTCTGTTTGCCGACAGCGGATGTTCATTTCATTAACATCAGGGATAAAGTAAAAATGTTTCTTGTCTGAAAACCAGGCTTTGTATAACTATACATACTTTCACAAACTTAGCATTATTTCTCAGCCACAGGAGAACATAGGAAACTTAAGGAAATAATGAACAATATGCAAGATCAAAAGTCCATAAAACAACCGACCGGTCACACCCATCGTAAGTTTTTTAATCGGGATCGGGAAATAAAGGGAAAATCCGCCGTAAATTCAGTGTACCATAATTCACAATTATTTTGAAAAACGTCCGTCAACATTTGACTCAATTGTATTTGCTGACAAGGTTATTGTATCAACCACAGAACTAACGAAATGATGACTTGAAACAAGACTGATGCTATTCTTGTTTCATCAACATGTTTGTCAATAATTTACCTCGTTTTACAAATTGTTCATACGTTGAGCATGCACTTTAGTATCGAATCAACTAAGATATATAAACTCCATATGCAAGGGATGAATGTATAATTCTGCATAGTAAGGGAAGATCACAATTGGAAAGTTAGATTCATCATGTTTATCATAGAACTTGGTTGCTAGTTTTCCAATAAAGTCTTTGTCCAAATATGAAAGAGTTGTGTCAGACTCTGTGGTATCTTTTACCTCAAGCTCACCAGGATATATCGTATCGACATTGGAATGGAAATTACCATTGTTAATTGACAATACGTCGTCGATATGTCTAAATGTCGAGTTCAGGCCACAACAAGTGTTTCTTTCTTTTTACACATAAGATTTTGGACAAATTCTGCTTCATATGAATACAGAAATAGGTCTACTAGTACCGGGGCGCAATTGGTACCCATGGGAACTCCAATAGATTTTTGGAAGGCCTGGCCCAAAAGACAACATAGATATTGTCGATCAGAAACTCTTGCATCTTTTTACGTCAACTTCAGAGTACATGTGTGTTCAATCAGAATGTTTTTTTAACAAAATGATTTTGGAAATGTCCAATGGCAAGGTAAGTTATTTTACGATTTCTATTCTTATTGAAAAAGGAGCAGCTATTAATGATATAAAAAAGCCTGGAATTTAATTTTTCGTGGGGTTGGTTGTGTATAAAATTGAAAAGTCGTTAGCTTTTAGGCTGTTGATTTTGGTAAAATCTTGTGATTTCAAATTGTCCAAGAGTTCCTTGGAATTTTTAAGTATCGACATCTGATTTCCACCACATCTTGAATATATTGTTGCACAGTACTCTTAAAGACATTTATAAAAGAGAAGAATTAATGCGCGAATCACGCCTACATCACCCTCCAGCCTATGTGTAGATCAACAACAGTGTCCACAATTATTAAACTTCGTGTCTACTACAGTAATGATCAGTATGTGCTCCTCCATGGATCCGAAACATTGAGAGTCACCAACACCACCTCCAACAAATTACATACCCTCAAAACAGATGTCTTAACATCAGATGGGCAGAAAATAACTTGTGAAAATCAAAAACCAAGACCCAATCACTCAGCAAATATTGGAAAAACCGAAAAAAAAAAAACATTTGGAGACATTATACGCCAAGCGATTAAGTGAAACCCCAAGGCAAACGTTGGTTGGGCGTCCCAGGACAACTTGGCTGATGTTCATGCGAAGAATAAATCAGACATTGTGGAAAAAACTGTGAATAATTCAAAAACAGCTATCAATATAGAATGCGCTGGAGGAATATTGACCACCAGAAACCAAAAAGGAACTATGATTGTACGGCTGACATTCCTCTTACTGATTTGCTTAAAGAAAAATAAAGGAACAACATGTTGCTGTGCAATTTGTTATTAGTTTTTCACTTTAAAACATTTCATACGTTGACAGATAGAAACAGGAACGATTTCCAATCAACTATGACCGTAACATTATCGCAAACAAACACCATATGAAGATTTTTTACCCCTACACTTGTGTATTCTTCTCGGTATTACTACTGAAAGTGATTATGATATTATAAGCAGTCATAAGCATAACATTCACTATCAAACTGGAAAATGGAAAAATACATCGCTCAGTTTTAGTCCTAGACCTGGCCAACGTGTTGTCGATGATACTTTCATTTACGTGTTTGTGTTATTAGTCTTTTTTTTAATCAGCATACTCCCTCCAGGAAAATATTAGAGATTACAAAGACCTTTTTCGTTAATATATTTACATTTAACAATCCGATAAATTTTTTTCTCGAAACGGAAATCTGTATTTGGGTCTACTTGTAACTTGAGGATAGGGTTTGAAGGCGTCGTTGTAACCAATCTAATCTCGCCCAGCTAGGAGGTGTTCTGCAGGATGGATTGAATGAATATCTCTATAAGATAGAAATGCACTGTAAATAAATGAACTCCATGCAGAGGAGAATCAAGGTTGTAATAGATGCTCAAGAGAAATATTGAGAATTTCCATTTTCATTTAATGGGGCAACGTAATCTGGATTTCAAAATTTAATGAATTATCAGTCAAAATCAAATTAAATTTTTGGTAACATATTTATATAAGATTTGTTTAACTCTTAAACTCAAATACTGTAAAATACCTTCAAAATATAGTATTTCATCACTTCAAAAATTTGCCCTAGATTTTTCCTCTTTCAATAGATATATGTACAAAAATTGTACATAGATTTCAGTGTGGAAGAAAGTTAAGATTCCTTTATTAAACTATTTTACTAACATCAAGGTTCAAAATTTCGACTTATTCTCAAGACGTTGTATACAGCTATTACACTTTATATATTTTTGACATGATAGACAGCTGCTTGTTCAATGAAAAAGGAATTCGTAAGTAAACTATCCTTGTCATTCCAAAATTACTTTGTTAAAACATTCTGATCGTACAAATAAGTGTTCCAAAGTTGATATTAAGAGGATGTTTGATTGTTAATTGCGCCGTATAGTTCTACTGCACACTAAAACGTCATGTCAGGTCAAAGGTCATAGGGGAAAAAAAACTACATCCGGGCTCTTATGCCGGTAAATAATCGAATGTCGAAAGGAAGATAGTTTATTATAACCGCTCATAACACATTAATTAAGCACGTAAGTTTAAAAAAAATATATAGAAACTAGAGAAAATGTTCTAAGCTAATTATCAAGAGTTCAAGATTATAAAGTTTCATTCAATTTTCTTAAATTTGAGCTTGTAAAATAGGTGAGTGGAATTGTCTGCTCTTTAAACTTTACTTTCACTTTGCTCCTTTTCCGTCGTACGTACTAGTTAGGAATTTAATAAGCCACAAGCATTTTTTTTTGGTGACGGGAATTCATACTAATGTATATTTTCAGATATTCAGCGCTAATCAATGTCGGTAAATGTGCTTTTTGATGTGTTGTGTTTTTTTGCGTACGTTGTTGACAGTTTGTTACAATTTACAAGAGCTACTAATCACAAACTCTTTAAATATTATCATGTCTAAAAGAAGCTGTTGAGTGAAAGGATGTACAAACAGCTGGTATAGCTTACAAAAATGGAGACAAGAATTTTGTTCAGTTCACAATACAAATTATGGAACAGGGAAATGTATTTGTGAACCTCCATTTGTCCTTATTCCATTACCAACTGTGGCAAAAGACCCTCATGCAAGAGCTGTCTGGGTGAAAAATGTAAATCGTTCCTCAGGGAATCGTAACTGGGAGCCAGATTCCTACTACTCGAAGGTGTGCTCATACCATTTTGTAGATGGGAAACCAACTACACTTAACCCCTACCCTACTCTACACATGGGCCACTCTAATCCAATTCAGCAAGGAAGAGCTCCCCCAAAAGAAAGAAATGATTTCTCTCAGGCAATCAAAAAGAGAAAATTTCAAGATGAAGTGAGAGAGAATGATGATCAATTGGAGAGAGATTGTTTGAAACAAAGTGTTTCTTTTGATCATGACTATGTTGAAGTTTGTAACCCTTGCATGTACAAAAGTACTGAAATTTTAAAACTTAAATCAAAAATTAAAGTTCTTGAATATGAACTCGCCAAATCAAGGGAGGAGAATCACAAGCTAAAGAGAAATACATTCAATGTAAAACCTACCAACATATTAAAATCTGACAAAAAAATGAGGTTTTATACAGGTTTTCCATCAATGAACTCATTCAATGCTCTGCATAATGCTCTTGAACCTAAGCTAAAAAGTGTGAGGTACTGGAAAGGACCATCCTTCCACTGCAATACACTGAAGCATAAGGTTTTCAAGAAATCTAGAGCCACAAGAAAACTGTCTACTAAAGACGAGTTAGTTTTAACTTTAATGAAAATCCGACTTGGGTTATTGGATGAAGATTTAGCAGACAGATTTTCTATTTCTGTGTCGTATGTGTCAAGAATCTTTACCACTTGGGTGAAGATTCTTAGCAAGTACCTCAGTAAACTAATTTTCAACCCTCCGAAAGAAGTGGTTCATGCAAATCTGCCCCCCAAATTCAAAACACAGAAATACTCATCAGTTCGACACATTATTGATTGTTCGGAGGTCTTCATTGAGAAACCTCATAGTATGATGGTTTCAAACCAGTGCTGGAGTGATTACAAACACCACTACACTGCAAAATTCCTTGTAAGTATCACTCCAGCTGGAATGATCAATTTTGTGTCGAACTGTTGGGGAGGTAGAGCCAGTGACAAATGTATAACAATTAACTCTGGCTTCCTTGACTTGATAGAGCCTCACGATAGTGTCATGGCAGACAAAAGGTTCAGTAGTCTCATGAAAGAGCTGACTCTTTCTCAAGCAAATTTGCTTGTTCCACCAAGAAGGCATGGTATTGCACAGATGACTGCATATGATGTTCAAAAAACAAAAGAAATAGCAAATAGGAGAATATATGTAGAACAAGCCATAAGACGTATTAAATTCTTTCGCTTACTGAAATTTGAAGTTCCTGTTACAATTTGTCAACATTTAGACGATATACTCAAAATTGTTTGTGGAATATGCAATCTTTATCCACCCCTCCCTAGGTATGATTGAAATGGTAAAAAATTGTAAATAAGCTATGGGGAATTTTTTTCAGAAACCTTAAGATTTTAAAATCTTGCAATAACATAAAATCAGTACATGACAAAGCTTTAATAATTGTAATATATACATTACATGTTTGTCAATACATTGTTGACATTGGTAATGTCATTTTCAGAAAGTTGACATTTTATTGTACTTATGCTTAAAGATAGTATACAATAGATATGACAATCTTCAAATTCAGTTTGAAATATGGCCTATCAGACCCATATAAAAATTGTGACATCAGACATTTGACCTGAGAAAGTGTATTCTTTTTAAAATTATCAATTTATCTATTACAAACTTGTGTGACTGTTTATAAGGCAACCTTTTTGTTACTAAAATTCAGTAAATATTTTAATACATGTACCAGTGTTTTTGAGACATATGTGATTTACAAATAAAACATACATAGTCCAGAAATGGAAAATTTACAGTTAAATATGCATAAACACAATCAAAAATGTAGGCTCCAAAATGACCGATATATATGATCCAGTGTCTTTAATTTTATACAAAATATGGCAAAAATATGTCACAGTTTATAATTTTTCTTACAAAAATCCTTGACAATTGAAAATACAATGACCTTTTCTGGTGTACTTAATAAGAAATGAATTAAAGTATTCCATGAGTGTTTTGTACTACCTTTACACGTAACAGCTATATACTAAAGTACATGTATATATAACTTCTGTATTCACATAGAACACTCACTACAGTACCAAGATGGTGTTTTCTTAAGTTTTGCATCTGTTAGATTAACACATTTAAAGTGGTACCAAAGACCACATAAATCACAACAAATACTTCTATCTTTTAAAGCAGTGACATTGTTAACAATGACTCGATTACAACATGGACAAAAATATGTCTCTCCTTCAATAATATTTGCATTTTCATCTACTTCCATTGCTTCCTCCACTAGTGATTTTTCTATACTGTAGGATTTTAACTCTGGCAACACAAAAGAAAAGAAAAAGTACTGAAGGCTTTTGAGAATATCTGTAAAATAGGTTTCATTGTACTCTATGTTCTCTGTGAAAGTACCATTACAAGTATAAACAAAAAAATCGCACCACTTTCTTCCAGTAACATGCATCTGTCCTTGAATTTGAGCAAAATAAGAGTGATTACTCTTTAACGACAATTCCCCTGACTTGTTAATAAGATAAACTGGTATTTTGCATGTACAAAATGACAAACATGAACTACATTTCGTTATCAATGGACACTTGATTTCGACACAGCCATCGCCACAGCATGAACATGAAACTAACAAATCTGGACTGGCTGCAATGTAAGTGTGTACAGAATCAAGAACAATACCACATTCATCTGATTTGGCATTCTTATGTGCTGTACAAAATTCTTTCAAATAAATACCCTTTGCAACTGGTTCCATTTCCCTACCATATTTTAGAGACTTTATGTTAGGATTCACTTTTGTATAACCCATAATATGTTTAACAAGTGGTTTAACGTCATGGACAACAGTGGGTTTATTATTGATTGAACCAACTTTGGTATGAATAGAATAAAAGTAGGAGGATGTCAAACGACCAATCCTCATATCATGCCATGTACTATTAGACGATTGACCTTTAGTACTGTTACTAATACATGTAATGGTAGAGGGAGGGATCTTGATGCTAGTGTCATTTTGTTCAAATGACGACAACATAGACTTCATGAAGTACTGTTGAACGTTGATCTGTGAGCAATCCTCCACAGTCATATCTGCTCCGGAAGCATGTGGTTCCTTCCCCTTGGCTTGGTGAGGTTGATCAACATCTAGACCTTTAAATTATATTAAATTAAATTATACCAGGTATAAAATATTACTAATATATGTAAATATTTATTATTTAATATACTTCTCTTTTCAACAATTTTCACCCAATGTGTAACTTAATTGAATAAATTCAAATAGTTGTCGATTCATCCTGCTGGTTATATTATTTTATTATTCATTGAGGAACCTTGTCAGATGATTGAGATGAACTATTCAAATTTTTGGGGTAGAGATTTCTATCAATGGTGAAAAAATAGAAACTTCATTATCAAAATAAATATATGTATATAATGTAGTACAGATTGAATTGTAATCTTTTACCTTTAAATAAACAGGCATCAGGCAAGATTTCTCTCAATGCATCTGAAAAGGTTGCTAAAAAGTTGTCCTCTTCATTATCCTCTGGCAGTGCATTGTAGTTTTTCCTGCTTCCATTTAGAGTTCTCGTTTTTCCTTTAAATAAATAAATTTATAATTTAATACTTGTAATACTGTACATATGTATGTAAGGTTACACAAGTGTCTACTATTCTTCTGTATTACAGTGCTGTTTAGAATGATTTGCAAAGAACATTGTACTTGATTTAATGAAAATTCCGTAATATTCATAAGATATAATATTCTTTAACTATTTTGTAATGATTCCTGTACCCCCGCTCAAAAAACAGGAGGGTATATACCGGGGTAGTAATTGGTATGTCTGTCTGTCTCTCTGTTCGTCCATCTGTTACGCTTTGAGGTACCCATCTCTTATCTACAACTCCTCTCATACTGCATAACGAAATTTTCACAAAATCTTTATGACATAATGCCATTGAGCACCCCCTATTTTACTTTTTGATCTGACATATATTATGGATTTTCCAGAGCAAAACATGCACACTGCCATTATATTCATATGGGAGACAGGGGATGTCATTTCGTGTGCTCATTGCTCACAGTGCCTCTAGTTTCAAATTCTTCTGAGACTGTTTTTTAAAAAAAAGAATTAATCCTATAAAATTTGTTTTGACCATTTTTACTATTATTAAGTTATTGAATTTAATACCGGTTTTTCCATGCTTAGCTCTCTCAAATGTCATGTCCTTCAGCATGGCTGGCTTTAGTGGTCGCTCTTTTGGTACAACCCATTCACATTTATTAGATGTACATGAAGTGCACCCCATCTTGTTGGCATATTCCACCCGGAATAGCAATCCTGCAACATGATTACATGTTTGTCCAAACCTATATTTGAGAGCAGAAAAAAGCATTAAAATACAGCTTTACTAGAAAAAAAATTCAAAACTGAAAGTAATTTAAAGTAATAAATTATTTTATTATTTTATGGAGATTCAGTGGGATAAAGAGCTACTGACCATGCAAGGTAAACTCAAAAGTATTGATTATTAAGCATTCAACTATCAATTGAGAAAAAAAGTATACTTTTTTCCCAGCAAATTACTGCGAGTAGTTAAAACACAATTTTAATGCATATAAACTGAATTGAACCTGCATGTTCATGTTTTAAGAGAAAAAAAATATACTTCAACCTGTATATCAATGACCTTTGTGTGTAATAGCGAGGTGGTGCATAGCACCACTGTATGTGTCTGCTTATATCATGTATATGTAATGCTCACCCTGCTGTACAAGTACAGAAAGCAGACTTGACTTTCCCCGAGTCTTTAACACAGCAAACCCACACTGTATGAGGTTCAGAACGCAGGCTTTTTGAGGGGGTACATGTGGCACGCAGGAAGCAATATGGGCTGGTCCTGTCAATAGGGTGGTAAAACACTTCTTTCAGCCACTGGCTCTGGAAGTACTGGTAGGCCTTCCCAACTTTATATTGGTTTAAATGTTTCTTTGCCCTCTCTTCTGTCTCATACCTTACCAAAATAATTACTCAAATAAAATTATGTGCACAAGTATTAAGAAGTGATGGAAAAACAAGCAAATGAAAGCACCATAAAGCTTAATGATCATACTGCTAGGCATACCTCATTAAAAACGCTGTTAAGTCGGTGATAAAAAGTGATGGCCAATTCTTCATCCCAAACTTTTCATCTTGCCAGTTTTCATATAACTGAAGTGGGTCTGGAAGGTTCATGTCGCCGAACTGTAACATTTCCTTGTAAGATTTTGAATTAACAATTTGCTTTTCAATAGACGTTTCCTGGGGTGGAATCTTCATAACATGTGCCGAGATGCCAACGCAACCATCTCTTGTTTGTTCCCGCCAGTCGACAATCCACGACATGATAAATAATATCTCAGAGCAGGAACTTTCCAATGTGAAAAGTCTTCTAAAGTTAAAGTCTTGTCCTCTGTGTCCATGGTGTGGAAAAATGAGTCTATATGTGTGTGAGGGTTTGTGTACAAGTCAGAATGTGTAAAAACGTATCAAAAAACCAGTAAAATATCGAAAAAGGTAACAAAAGTTCTCAACATCAACAAGTGGCGTCCATATTGTTTACGCTGTTTTTCCCCTATGACCTTTGACACGCATACATAAATAGGTAATTCAATATGGCGGCGCTCTGTGTGCAATAGAACTATTGTATGCAAACAAGTTACTTTGTTCAAATAATTCCGATCGTACAAACAAGTAATCCAAAGTTGATATTAAGAGGATGCTTCATTTTTAAATACGCTCCATTATAGACATATCTATTTTTGTATCCACGTGTAGTAGAATTCATTCAGAAACGTAATGCGGTTATTTTAGCACATGAAGCAGATGTGCTTAACTCATATATTTTTTTCTCATATTTGGGGATGAATCAAGTCGACAAATGAAAGAAGAGATAGACATTGTCAGCAAATACAATTTATCATTAAGTCAAATGCTGACTCACGTTTTTCATAATAATTGTTAGGTCATTATCTATACACTGAATAGACGACGGATTTTTCCGTTATTTCCTGATCATGACAAGATGTGATCGGTCGGCAGGGGATGCTCACTCCAAGGCACCTGATCCCACCTCTGTTTTGGAGGTCCTTATTTGCTCTGCTCTTGTTTGTTTTTGTTTTATGGACTTTTGATCTTGAATACTATTAGTTATCTCCATATGTATCACAAGAAGAAAGAATGAAAGAAGAAAGAAAGAAATGAGTCTTCTTTTTAAGAATTGTAAATTTCTTTATCCATAATTGACAATGTTCGAATCCCAACATTCCAATATAG